TATTATTTATGGTTCTTCTATGGTTAATTATGGACTGCACAGGCTTGACAATAACTTACAGATCTCAAGAACTTAAAAATTTAGCTATCACCCACAGGAAGTAGAAGACTCCCAGAGGCACCTTGCCAAGATTAGAACTTTATCTCAGACAAGAATGATGCCTCAGATACAACAGTTGGTTATACACTGCAGTGCAAAGAAACCAGAGACGTATGTAATTATTCCCAGTGGTTAAAACTCTAGGCTTCTTCTTCTAGTCATTCTGAATTCACAGTTATTTACTGAATGTCTTGGTGGCCTTGGGCACTACTTTGACAGCAGCTCTCACTAACCAGTTCTTAGCATATCATTCAAATATAGGCTAACTGCATTTTAAAATCAACACCTAATCACAATTTCAATTTGGGATTACCCCTGCCCAGAACTGGCAATTGATTTTCTTTCTTACAGTAATTTTATTGCACATTACAATTAAAACCATAAAAACTAATTAAAAAGGAATAAAATGGAAAAAAATAGGTTCAGAAAATAAAAAATAAAAAGAAAGAAAAAATAAGAAAGAATAAGAACAGAGATATATAAAGAAATTATTTTCCCCTTCATCAGAAGCATAAATAATTTTAGTAATTTATCACTTTCTCTGGGATTAAGATAATTAAATGCACTTACCCCTTTCCACATATATACAGCATAAACAGCTGCATGTATACAATTTTCACAAATAGCATAAATGTAAAAAAGAGAGAGGGGGGGGGAGGGAGGGAGAGAGACAGAGAGAGACAGAGAGAGAGAGAGAGAGACAGAGAGAGATAGAGAGAGAGAGACTACAGCATATTATTGCCCTACAGTTGGGAATACATCTTGAATGGTTCTATGGAGAACAACAAGGCATTTATCTTCTTGGCTCTGCTTCTCTAATGTATCCTAGCCTGGTAGCCACTGCTGTCTTGAGGGCTTAAAATGGTCAGGCCCATGTATTTTTTTCAGTAGCCCAGTCTTTTCTTCATGCCTTTCTGTAATTCCACCAGTTACCAACTTCTTGAGTTGCCTTGATCTTAGCTTCATTTTATGGAGAGGTATGTGCTGCTGTTCTTCTTGGTTCTGTGGCTAAACATATCCGGGATTACAGTAGCTGTGGTATATACCAGTTTATTGGTTTAAGTTATTGTGGTAGTAGGGATTGTTTGCAATGGTATCTGATGGTACTTCTTTACTGAATTTTGGTAACTGGTTTTATGCATTGATAGTCCCTAGCTTACCTACGATCTTATGTCTCATATCAGCTGTTGTGCTCTGTAATGGAGAGGGTAGCAGATGTTCCAACTTCAGGGGTTGGCTGCACATCCAATTGTTCTTTTTGAATATGGAATGGAATGTGTAGTAGATCTATTTCAAGTTGTGAGAGCATCTTCCTCTTCACTATGTTGGAGCATTGAATAACTAGCTGTTTTTCAGTTAGTGGAAGATACAGGTTTTCTGTTCTCCATAGTTGCCTCATACATTTCATATATCTTCTCTAATTAGCTCTATTATTATAATAGCATTCCACCAATTGTGGGTTCTCTTGTCCATGTATAGCTTGTTTCAGTAATCCATTTATCATCAGATTGTCCTGCTTCCTAAACATCAGATGCAAACCTGGTTAATCAGTGTGGCATCAAATTATATAACTCTCTTATTTTGAGGTAGGCTGATGAAGCATTAGGGGGTTCTGCCAAAGGACTCTACAAGTAAAGTAGGTTAGATCTGAACCCAAGTCTCCCAAATTGAAAGCAGCTTTCTAATCATATCCTATTGAGCTGCATGCAGGGGTGGGTTTCTATCGGTTCTCTCCACCTCTGTAGAACCAGTAGCTCTGAAGAGCAGCAGACATAGAACCGATTCTATGTCTGCTGATGTTTTTGCCCACCCAGGCTTTTACCTGATCTTTATTTCCTGATTTTTCAATTTCAGCTGCCGTACGAGGCACAGCTGCAGTTTTAAAAGCAGGAAAAGAGGGCTGTTTCAAAGGCTGCTTCTCTGCACGCAGCATGCTGATGATGATTTACAGGTGCATGCTCGCAGCGTGCAGGGAAGCAAATCATAAATCACCGAACCTTGTAAATCACCGAACCGGTAGTTAACCCTGTCGTATCCCACCTGTGGCTGTTTGTTATATATACATATGTATATAGGAATGTGCGTGTGTGTGAGTTTTTACCCTAATCCTGTATCTTTCTCAATTTCAGGTCTTCTATCAGGTTCTGTGCAAGATCTTAGCTGTTTCTAACACTGCATTCTTCTGGACAGACAGCTCTGATTTTGTACATTCTCTCTTGTTCTTCCTTCAGGACCTGGTATTTCTCCAGTTTCTCATACTCCTTCTTCCTAATGTTGCTATCAGTTGCCACAGCTACATCTATCACCACTGCTGTTTTTCGGTGCTTTATCTGGTTTATTGGCTGTACCTACTTGTCTGTCTGGATCTGGATCAGGAAATGCCACAGGACTTTAGCTCTCTTATTTCTCACAATCTTCTGTAGAATCTCCTACTGAGACTTAGGATAGCCTATCCATATTCTGTACAGATGTTCCTATACACAATACATCTACTTGTTGTGCCATTCAGTATATAATGTTCCTGCCTCCCACTATATGCAAAGACAACCCAACATAGTAGAAATATGTAAGATATCTATAGAGAGAGAGAGTTAATGGGAAGCAATAGTGAATATCAGGCACAACACTGAGAGCAAGAGTGAGCAGCTCTACATTTGCATATCTTTTCATCTAATTTATGAAGAAAATTTGCAGTAAGTTTATATGCAAAAAAGAAACTAGGATAGTAAGAGCAATTTCTTCTCTCCAAAGTTGGACATTCCAAATTCTCCTGTATTTTTTTTTCAAACAGACAGCAACAGAAAAACAGCTCACCAAGAATTATCTGCTCTCCAATTATTGCTCAGACCTGGGTTTGTAGCATGCTTTAAAACAACTCCAGTGATGTTTCATTTAGATGTTTAGTGAAGCCCATTACCACTCTACTTATTCTGAACTTATAGGCTTTTCTCATAAAGTTTATTTCACTGCTCACCATAATAGTTCTGTCCTGTCCCATCCTATCCAGTCCTGCCCTGCTCTGTCCATAGAAACTCATTACTTGCATTAGATGAAAATAGCATTGTGGCATTGCAGTGCAAGTTCCACCCTTTTAGGCATGTGTGTAATTTAATGACATATATTCCAAACAGACAGCCATAAAGTTGTTGATATCATTCTGACATCCCATTCCCCTGCAGATACTGATTTTTACTTTATTCTTTCCTGTATCAAAATATGTGCCATAAAGCAAACACACGTCTTGTGGATAACCCAAAGTTAGAGACAAGTACACACATTTCCAAGATACCTGATGTCCTGCCCATGCTGTACCATTGGACAGAGTGGGCATACTCCAAATCCCATCACTCAAACAATGTCACCTAATGGGGCCCAGGAAGCAGGCACCTGCCCTCTGGAATAACTTCCCCAAAGAGTTCTATATAACCGAGATCCTACCTTTAAAAAAATCCTTGTGGTTTACTTGTGAAGTGGCTTGTTTCATGTGAATAAAGACTGCATTTGCAGCCGAAGCTTGAAAATAATACCATTACTGTTTCCCCAAACAAAGAGAAAGGTAATAAGAGTAAGTGTCCCTGGGGAGGTATTTGGCAAAATTCTGTCTGGCAAGGTTGAAGAAGTGATGATGAAACAGAAGTTTGGGAGTTGGGTGCTGCCCTGCGCTGGACAGGAATCTGCACCCACATTTTTGGATTAGGTTACTTCATCTGGTACTGGATCACCAGGCAAATGATTAAATCATGGTGGTATCAGATCCAGGCATATTGTATTGTTTGAGGATTTATTTTACTCAGTGAAAACACAGAAAATGTTAGGACAAAAAAAATTGATTAGATAGACGATCAGATGCACCTGCTGCTTTGTTGCCTTTTTAAAATAAAGAACTAAATATGAAATATATTCACAATTTTATAATTAAACATCAGTTTCATATTAGTCATCAGTCACTTGTTTATCTAATTTTTCTGGATGACTCATCTACTAGATAAATCTAAGAACTCAGATGTCACAATACATGTCTGTTTCTAGTTTTGGACTTTTAAATGTACAGTACCATATTTTCTATCATCATCACCAACATTGCCATCACTAAAATCTTACATATGATGACCTATTTAAATGATCAAGCATTTAAACAGTTTTCTTGAGACATCAAAAAAGATCTGACAGAGATGCCAGGTATCTAAAGCTAATCTAAAACAAGGGGGGTGGAATTGCTAATATTTGGAAGTGGAAAGTACAGCATTGTTCACATTTTAACTGTATGTGTGATGTTAACATATATGTCATGTCGAACTGTACATATCATATACTATAGCTCTTTATATGCTAGCTGCCAATAAGGGATATTCATCAAAGACCACATTATCTTCAGGTTAAATTCCTCATTTCCCAAATGTATTATCTTATAAAGAGAACTTTGTGAAATACAATTGTTACTGCTGGCTGTTCATGTTAGGGCACAATTTTGGTTTCATTTTATTCTGCCAAGCATTCTGCTACCAGCAAACTGAATAAAGCATTAACCCTCATATATGTTGCTGCCTGCCCAGTGGTATGAAAGTAATCTGTCAATCTTCTTCACTGGATCCAATTTCCCTGAAATGAGTGTGTAATTGCAGCCTGTTTCTATATAAATCTGTGTCTTGCATTAAACATTTATGCCATATATACAATGGGCAGAAAACACAGGACTATGTACAACTCTAATGAAAGTTTAATTGCAATGCAACAGTATTAAGTTTACAGTAAGTGTAATGAGGATACAGAAAAGGGGGCAAGGTTGTTGGGTACAAACCGAAGTTCAAACCTTTTCTGATAGGTAATCATATAAAAGTATTTTTATGTCTCGGGAAGCTTATTGCTAATGGTGAAAATACATAATTTTGTGCAGCAAACAGATGGACAAGGAAGCATCTAGTGATGTGCGCAGCTCAGTCCAAATGGAGCTGGAAGAGATATCCAGCAAAATAGCAGATCTAGACAAGTGGAGAAAGATTTTCAACGTTCATGGGTAAGGCTTTTTTCTCTAATGAGTACTAAAAATTAAACTACTTTTAAGGTCAAGGATTTATAGAAATAAGACCCACATAATTTATGAAGACTTTTATTGTAAATGTGTTTAGGACTGGAATGTTCCCTATATACTGTACTAAGAGGTAAAGTGGTTTGATACAGAATGGTAATCTTTATGATTATGTATGCATAAGCTATTTGTTGGCTAGATGGTTATTTTCAACTGTGTTTTTCTCCATAGGTTGGAAATCAGTCACAGAACCTTTCAGGTAAGTGTCCTCCAAACTTTTCCAGTATGATGATCAGGTTGATCTTTTGATCTTACATAAAATTGAGTGTATCAGTAGATTAATCTTGCTATCAACAACTACTCATAAAAATAGCTTGTGAACCTAAGGGAGATGATGAGAGTTTTCAATAAATCAAAGAAACTATTTACACTCAAAAATGTTTTCACACAGAGCTGTTTCTCAATTTCTGTAACTTTAAAGGCATTTTATAAACCTTTGCATATTTAGATATCTTATGGATTATTGCTAGTGCATTTTAAGAAAAAAAATCTAATCCAGTTTTTCTGTATCAATTTCTAAAGCATTCTTAAAGTAAACTAGACATTTGGTTTTCTAAAAATATAGATATGTTTACATAACTACACAATTCTGTCTTTCCCTTCCACTGAATCAACACGTTTATGGTTCTAGTTTACAAATAAGACAGCGTCTTATTCTATAATATTTGTGGTCTAAGATAAAAAGTAAGCAATGCCCAGTCTATAATGAACAATACAGCAAAAAAAAATCCATATGGACATTTTGCATTAAAAATTAAGGGAATCTCATTTTGCGAGGTTTTGATTAAAATTGTATGCATAATTGCTGATAAGAAGATCAGAAGCCACATACACAAACATATAATATACATATTCATGTTTTCTAATTTTTTTATTATTTTCTCTATCCCTTTTTTCTTTGTCTCTTCTTTTCCTCTCTTTTCTTTTTCACATTTATTTTCACATTTGCAATTTATTTCCTCTTTCCTGTTTCACATTTACTTTCCTGTATTTTTCTTTGAATGTAATTCTTATTATGTGATAAAATCTTTTAATAAAATTATTTTTAAAAAACAATACAGCAGAAAAGTAACTGTCATCATTAAAATCAACTTGAAAGTGAAGAAGTGAGTTTAATTATGAATGGAGATACTAAGTTGTATTTCAGAAAGTATGACTTGGTCATTTAGGTTATGCATATGCGTGAAAGTGGGAAATCATAGCTGGTGTGGTTTATATTTCAGTCCTATTGATCGCAAAAAAAGGAAGAATTGGGTGTCTTTTGGGAGAGAAAGTGTAGCACTCTGAATAAATGTGATAAGGAAGAAATTATTCTGTTACGCAATAGAAGTGGATGGGAGAGAAAAAAATCAGAACTTGATTGATAAATATCTGCTTTGTTGTCTGATGTTTTGAAATATTGGTTTAAGTGTAGATCTATTTATGTAAACAAATGAGAAGATTGATGACAAGTTTTGAATATGGGTCAGAATTTTGGTACTGGCAAGAAAGCATCTTGGGGAAATGATATGAAAGAAAGGGAAAGACTCTAAAATAAAAACAAAATGATTGAAGAGAAAGTATGAGGCTTGTATGAGTAGAAAACAGATGAACTGGGTATAAAGAAGGAGGATATGAAAGCTGCTTGAAAAAATGTGAAAAGAATTCTATTATAGAGTTTACAGAAGTGTGTGCAGTCAGGAAGACAAATAGGCATAACTGAAATTTAGCAGAAGGATGCTCATGATTGACACATGCCTTTGGAAGGAACACACTCAACAAAAAAGGTGTTTGTGCTCTACGGGGGGTGGGGAGAGATGGATAGAGAGATAGAGAGAAGGAGGGAGGGAGGGAGGGAGGGAGGGAGGGATGGATGGATAGATAGATAGATAGATAGATAGATAGATAGATAGATAGATAGATAGATAGATA